TTAATCCATGCAACCGAGTAAAATTACAAGACTGCAACCAGTTTTTTAGTTACTAATTCTTGAATTTTGCTGAATCATCATTCTATATGGCTTCTTAAGTATTGTCACTAAATACTAACACCTGACCAGACTGCTGAATATTAACTGGGTATTATAGATGTTTTATGACTGTCACACTCACGGGAGGCAAGATTATAGATAGATAGTTAGATAGATAGATAGATAGATAGATAGATAGATAGATAGATAAAATACAGACAGACAGACAGATAGATAGATAGAAATACAGACAGACAGACAGACAGACAGACAGACAGATAGATAGATAGATAGATAGATAGATAGATAGATAGATAGATAGATAGAAATACAGACAGATAGATAGATAGAAATACAGACAGACAGACAGACAGATAGATAGATAGATAGATAGATAGATAGATAGATAGATAGATAGATAGATAGATAAAATACAGACAGACAGACAGATAGATAGATAGAAATACAGACAGACAGACAGACAGACAGATAGATAGATAGATAGATAGATAGATAGATAGAAATACAGACAGACAGACAGACAGATAGATAGATAGATAGATAGATAGATAGATAGATAGAAATACAGACAGACAGATAGATAGATAGATAGATAGATAGATAGATAGATAGATAGAAATACAGACAGACAGACAGATAGACAGACAGATAGATAGATAGATAGATAGATAGAAATACAGACAGACAGATAGATAGATAGATAGATAGATAGATAGATAGATAGATAGAAATACAGACAGACAGACAGACAGACAGACAGATAGATAGATAGAAATACAGACAGACAGATAGATAGATAGATAGATAGATAGATAGATAGATAGATAGATAGATAGATAGATAGAAAGAAATACAGACAGACAGTTTACAGATATATTACACTTTAAAAAACATGTTAGGGTTACAATTTATTTATATTTTAAAATAAAGCAGTAAGTTAGTTTAACATTTACACCTTTTTGAGCATCGATTTAGCAATGTTGTTTTTAAGTAAATTATCTAGAATTCCAAGCACCACAGAAATGCTTGTCCCCACAGTCAAGTGTATATATATATACATATATGGTGGATTATGTGCAATCAAAACAAATTGGCCCTGTTCATGTCAGTTATGTGAGCAGATAAGTTTCAACCACACTTCAGGGATTTATTATGCTTCTGTCTTCTACTTCACTGAGTAATGTCAAGGAAGAACACGCCGACAAATGGCTCTGTACTTTTGAAAATGAGCTCCTAGCAGGCGTGTTCACCCAGCACTGCAGCAGCTCATAACAGGCACAAAGAAAACTCACCTCTTCGAGTGCACAGCTATGGGAGGCTTGTATTGTCATCCGAGAACAAAAAACTTAATACAGTATTGCAATAATAAACATATTAATATCTTTAATTACATGATAATAGGGCGTTATAAGTTATACAAATATGAGCTATTAAAATGTTTTCATTAATTACACAGAAAGCCAGAGGTAAGTGCTGTTCTCCCTTAATTACTTTGTGAATCCAGAGAAACACCAGAGAGTGAGCTGGATAATGAAGTTTCTGTTGTTCTCCTGTTCTTTCTCCAGAAACACACAGAGCAAACAAGGTATTTGCTGTTCTCCCGTTCTTACTGTATAATTACCCAGTAAAAACAAATGATTACAGTAAACATAGTCGAACATTACTGGACTGCTGCCCATCTGATGTTACAATATGGGACCCAAGACTAGCTGTTTGGTTCCATTAGCTTTCATGTAGAACAACAGAGCGGAACTCTGTTTTGAACAGACTATGAGAAAACTTGACTGAACATGATTTAATAGAATATGTACGTACTGAGTAAGAATGGCAGAACAGTGGGAACTTCATAATCCAGCCCGCTCCCTGTTGTTTCTCTGTATTTACACAGCAAGTACTCCGTAGTTATGTGATAAGGAAGGGGAAGGTGGGGGCAGTTCACAAGGGCTGGTACTACGTTTTCTCTGAAATTCTACAGAAGAATGAGTGCTAATAATATAAAATACAGAAATAGAATAGAAATAAAATATCTTAAATTTACTCATTATACCCAAACTCCCCGCCTCCAACCACCACCAACATTGCTGGGTTACACCTGAAAAGGGAACCCAGAATGCACAATGGAACAGTGCCAATCAATTGGGTTTCTTCATTGAACTCCTTAACACAAGTCTCTTATTGTCCTTTTTATGTTATTAAAGAAAGGCCATAAGTTATACACTCGTCAGTTCGGAAGAACTTATACATACATCAGCAGCCGGACCTTGTTATACCCTATAATCACACTTTTTCTACGCAAAAGATTCTGCGTTGACTATGCAAGAGTTAAAATGTGGCTTACACAATGACAGCTATAAAAATAACTATACAGACTAAAGAAATGGAAAATGCAAAACATTTCTGGACAATGTTTGAGCATGAAGTATATAACGTGTGTGACTGACTGTTCTGTCTGGCTACAAACTTGGTGTTTCTGGTCAATTAATTATTAACACCTTCATGAGTCAAATCAGGTGTTAAAGCAGGAAAATAACAGGCCTATGATCTATTTTCTCCAGATCTCTTGCTGCAGCTGCCTCAACGGGTGCAGGAGCAATGCGATTAAATCACATCATCACATCATCTACAACTTCTTTATTACTCTAATGCCCATGTGTCAAACACAAGGCCCGTGGGCCAAGTCAGGCCCGTGGCACAATCCTATTCGGCCCGCAAAGTTATTTAAATTTTCTGTTGATATTAGCCGATTTCACTATGAACTGCACTACAGTTCCCAGCATGCACTGCAACATAATCCGTGAAAAAAAAAAAAAAGATGGCAGGTGTCTAGTTCAAGTGAATGGGCGTTTTTAAAAACCTACTGTACATTAGGAGGTTTAACAGATCTGTAGTCTTATATTAAATACTGTTTTTAATTAAAATTATTTTTGAATCATTCAAGTAATCACTGCCTGTTTTTTGCCGTTGTGGCCCACAGATTTGTTGAGATTTTTAATATGGCCTTTTTTAGTTGTTGAGTTTGACACCCTTGCTCTAATGCCTCTCTGTTCTCTTACATAAATTACTGTTGCCCTCTGGTGGACAGTGTGATGTACTTTCACACACAAAGAACTGACACAGTAGAGATGTTTGGTTCATTTTGTGGCACAGTGTGCACATTTTGATAAATCATAAGAGATGATTTCAAATAATTGATCATTTTCTTTGAAATTTTTTAATCATTTTTGTAATATGTGCTGTTTGCAGTGCACTCAGTCTAAACTCATTCAGCAGAGTGTGATTATACTATTCAATATTCTATTCAAATTTTAAATTCTGTTCCTCTGAAGGAATCTTAGAGCATCACTTTAGTAGAAAAGATCCACTTTTAAATGCAGTAAAAGCTTTATTGATTATCAACACATGACAGAATGCAGTTGAGATAATGTGCAACACAGCTACTGCTGACACTTACACTGACCAGCCACGTAATAAAGTCCATCTCCTTGTTTCTACACTTACTGTCTGTTTTATGAGCTTCACTGACCATAAAGGAGCACTTTGTAGTTACAGTCTGTAGTCCATCTGTTTCTCTGCATACTTTGTTACCCTGTTCTTCAGTGGTCAGGACGCCCATGGACCCTCACAGCACAGGTACTATATGGTGGTGGATCATTCTCAGCACTGCAGTGACACTAACATGGTGGTGGTCTGTTAGTGTGTGTTGCGCTGGTGTGAGTAGATCAGAGAACAGTGATCCAGGTGCGCTTAGAAGATGTAGGATGTGTAAAAGTTCGATGATAGAGTATGTTGTTCTCTACCATCCAAAGCCAAACACAAACTGCCATAATGTCATTGTCATCAGTGGTCTGCACATTAGGAACATTGCTCTTTAACTAGCTACAAAAGCTAAACTGCACCATCAAAATACCAAAGCAATGTCTAGTTAAATGCATCGAGTCTTCAAAGGTAAAACATACATATTTTTTGATGCCCGCTCTGGCAGTATGCCTTAACCAAAGATGGCTGTGTTTAGGTGTTTAAGTTCATTGTTATTCCTCATCTTTGTACATCTCAGATGTCTGATTTTAACGCAATTATGTCATCTTCATTGGGCCTGCAGTAATCAGACACATGCTTTTCAGTAAAGGGTGGTGTTGGTTAGTGAAGTGTTGGCTGTGTGTGTGTATGTGTGAGCCCACCATTCAGTTTCGTTGCTACTGTTTTGTATCACTATAGGGTGAAAGTATTGAAATTGGTAGGGTGATGACTGCACTGCTGTTAGCATTAAGCTGTAGCCTGATGTAATGAAACTGCAGAACGTAGCACATTTGCATATTGCATCTACCAAGTTGGCCCACCCGCTTTTTCACAGGCCTACCCAAAAATTTATTTCTGCCTGCGCCACTTGTGTGACGGCTTTGCACGTCATTAAAGTACATTTAGTTGTGAAGAGCAAAGGTAGAGCTCGGTATGTGTAACCGATAATATATTTTTTTTTACAATTTTTACAGTACTTTTTTAATTTTACTTGAGAACACAAAACATGTAGAGTTCTGATAATGTTATACATTTACACAACACATTTATCCTTACAAATGTACATATTTCCACTGCTCACATCTTAAACTGGACTTCTCGTATAACTTTAAACCTGCATGTAACACCCACAGATTTCCTTTTAAGGTTATTTTCTCTGGATGAGTTTATTAATAGAGCGTATTGGTTGATAAAGCAAGGCCACAGATTCTCAACAATTAGCTTTATCGCTTATCATGTTTATGACTATGATTTGGCATATAAAATCTTTACACGCTGATTTGACAATAAAAATGCAGTTTTTGCTGACAAATTAAATATCAAATATAGTAAATGTGTGATTTAGGCTCATTTTTTTTAAGCTCTCTCTGTCTACAGTCTTAAATGGTCACACACAAAAACACACTAAAAGAAACACTGTTGGTTTAATCTGTGTGTTCGAGTGAGAGGCCACACTTCCTGAGCGTGCGGCGGACGTAGGGCATGGCATCCTGCAGGAACCACTCCCTCTTATACAGCACCAGCATCACGTCCAGCAGCAGGCTGTGCTCCCTCCGCCTGCACACACAAACACACGCACACTTAAAACCATTTAACATCTTCTGTAGACAAGCTAGTCAAGCTTTAAGACACTTTCACAGAACCAGGAATCTGTATGGAGACTATTCCATTTGGTCCAGGTCATTTTGATAGACCAATCAAACTGATGCACAAGCTAACCTTAAAGTCATAACACACAGTAAAACACCACAGTAAGATGTAAAAAAACTGAATTTTTGGTAACACTTTTCTGCAGAGCAGTGTTCATAAGGCTCCATGCAGAGGTGGGTAGAGTAGCCCAAATCCATACTCAAGTAAAAGTACTGATACTTGGGTAAAATAATGAATCAAGTAAAAATAAAAGTACTTTCAAAAAACAATTTGGGTAGAATAACAAAAGTACTGGTCAAAAAAACAACTTCAGTACTGAGTAACTCATAGAGCTGCAGTGAAACCTCTTAGTACATCTATTATCTATCAGCACAGAAGTTTGTTATACTATATTCTTCACTTTTTGTATCATTTTGGTCTAAAATACGATGCTAAAGCTCCAGTGGCCAATCCCAAAGCAGCACAGATGTTGTCACCAACAAAAACAATGACATTACACACAAAAAAGGAATTAGGAGCTAAATATAAATGGCTAAAGTGTAACTGAGTAAAAAGTAGACTACTTTTCTTACTAATATATTTGAGTAGAAGTAAAAGTACTATGGATTGAAAATATTCTGGAGAGAACAAATCCATCAATTTAAGTTTTACATAAACTCTGATCACATGACATAAACCCTTCATAATTAACTTAAACTTACATAAACATTTATTAACACTTAGTCCAACAGGCACCATTTAAAATAGACATTGCGTGACAAACTCTGAAAACAGAACCCTGTGTCAGAAAAATACATTTGTTATATATATTTATTATATTATATCACCTTGACATCAAGCAGCCTTTTACGAAAGATGAGCCCTATTAGAATAAGCCTTTTTTATGTAGGTTTATATATAATGTATATCACTGCTCTCGGAAGGAAACCTTGTATCTCCATTTTTGTGGTTTTTTTAGTTTTTGGCATTGTTTAAAAATGCCTGTTGCTCTTTATATTGTGTGTAAATTTCATGATTAATGGACCAAAAGAAATGACCCAAAATGACTTGAAAAAAAGTCTGGTTCCATTGAGTTACATTAAAAGTAAAGTAGGTTTTTTCCTTCTCCTGTAAACTTACCATTTTGGAGATACAAGGTTTTCTTCCGACAACAGCGATATATATATATATATATCAACGTTAGATTTTTACAAGGCTGAAGTTGCTTCTCATTCTTCTTGTTCAAATGTTCCCCGTCCCACCTTAAATGGTGCCAGAAACTGACTTCAGCCTCATGACTTTTTAGTGTTTGACAGTTTCTCGTTGCAGTTCAAACGTATCAGGAAACCAGCTGGAGTGCTTATAAACGCAAACAATTCCATTCGTCTAAAAACGATCAGTGTTCGTCTCAAATATTTCTCTTTGCCTTTTCATTAGCTATGGTGACCAGCAGTCTGTCTCCTGTTAATATCAGATTCAGAGCGTTTTATGTATTTTTTCTTAAAGCTGGTGACCAAGAACAACCTTTTACTTTAGCCTAAGCCAAAAGGTTGGGAACTTCTAGAGAAACGATAAAACAGTACATTTCCTTTACTGTATGAGTGATTTCCTCGTGTGTCATCACTCACAGCTGTTTGTAGAGGCTGGGTTTGTGCTGTGCTGGGTCACAGTGGCAGGAGTGTGAGGTTGGCTCAGATGATCTCTCCGTAAATCCACACTCTGACGATTCAGGGAAGCTTGAACACAAACTAAAGCAGCACTTACTTCCTGCTTCATCAAAGAGAGAGAAAAAGAGGCATTTTGAAAATGACATTATTAAGCATAATATTTATAAGCTGAATATGAGTCAAAAATATTCAAAAAACAAAACACAATCTTTAAGAAGGGTTCAAAGTGATTACTAAAAAATCACATTTCCTTTTTACTTTAAAATACATGACTGATTGCTCACCTATAAAAATGGACAAAAGTCTGGACAAAAATTTCGGCCTTAAGTTGATGCTGCTTCTGTTTTCAGCCATGTGACTTACTTTTGTCCATGTTTATAGATAACAGTATGTCACTTAGTGTCAGAACCCACATAAGTGTCTCGCCTCCTCCAGTAACACCTATCAAATTATAATACTCAACACTAAGGACGTCGGAATACTTTTACAGTATTTTTATAATGGTCAGGCTTTGTGCCATTCAAATTTGCAGCCTTCAAATGATATATGAAGCACCAAAGTCACATGGCACTCATTTTGGAGGAGTAAAACAATGAATGCAATCAACTACAGATTGCAATGCATGGCCACAACTTGCTAAGGCGTGGGAACAGATCCTAATGCGTGACCACAACTTGGTAAGACATGTGAACGAGACAGTTAAATTGTGGTTATGTCTTAGTAATGCATGAGAATGAGATAGTAAATTTGTGGCTATAACTTAGTAAGGCATGAGAATGAGATAGTAAAGTTGTGGCTCTGACTTAGTAAGGCATGAGAATGAGATAGTAAAGTTGTGGTCATGATTTAGTAAGGCATGAGAATGAGATAGTAAAGTTGTGGCTCTGATTTAGTAAGGCATTAGAATGAGATAGTTAAGTTGTGTGTGACTTAATAAGGCATGAGAAATGAGATCCCTAAATTGTTATAGTCATGCCAACTGGGTAAAGAGTGGGAATTAGATATGTGGTAGCCGCAACTTAACTATCTTGCGCCCATGCCTTACTAAGTCATGGCCGCAAATTGACTATCAGAACTTAATTATCTCATTTCCTCACTTTACAAGTCATGGCCATGACATAACTGTCTTGTTCCCACACCTTAGTAAGTCATGGCCACAACTTATTTATCTTGTTTCCCCACCTTAGTAAGTCATGGCCACAACTTATCTGTCTCGTTTCCCCACCTTAGTAAGTTATGGCCACAACTTCTCTATCTTGTTTCCCCACTTTAGTAAGTCACGGCCACAACTTAACTATTACAACTTAACTATCTCTTCTCTCACCTTGCCATGTTGTTTGTTTCCACGCCTTAGTAAGTTTTTATTAAGTGTTTTTATAGAGAAGTGATGTCAGCAGTGGGGCTCTGTAGCCTGCGGCTGACTGACGACAGTGGTGGTAAAGAGGAGATTTATTTAAATTTGATTCTTGGCAGAAACATCACTTTAATTAACACCATTAAATTAATATAGTGTGTCTCTCACCGTGGGGAAGGTCAGTCGTGCACTGTTGAGAAACACAGTGTGACATGAGAAGCATCTCTGTGTTCGTGGTGACTGTGTGTGTGTGTGAGGAGTGTCTCTCCATGTGTGTGTGTGAGGTGTGTGAGTCCATGTTGTCGTGGCACCCAGAGCACGGCCTAGAGCTGTTTTTCAGAAAGGGCTTCCAGTCTGGCCTTCAACTCAGCGTTCTCCAAACACACCTGCAGGGGGCAGCATACACACACACACATATATGAATATATATATATAAAATGGAGGGTTTCAAACACTTAACTTAAATAATTCTTATTTTAAAAGAATGTGATGTGAATTTCTGTATCTGCATAAATCTATTAATATTTGTTTCATTTCTTTTATATAAATAAATTCATTTTTAAACAGCATTATTCATTTCACCAGTCAGAAAATGTCAAGTGGTGCAACCACACGCTAATATCAAATGTTAATGGGAAAATGTAACTAGCCTTTGTACTTGCACCATGAGGGTCACTCAGGGTCTTCATCATGATGCAATACCCTGCTCACTCTTTCTTAAAAGCATGTCAGAATTAAAGTCTTTATTGTAGGTTGCGCCGCATGACAATTGAGAAATCTGAATTTACGGACAAAGGTTTTGCAATTAGTTACGAACCTTTTAAGTTTTTTTTGCTTAGTTTTTTTTACTATTTTACTTAGAATTGAAATAAAAACAAATTACTCTTTTTATACTTTACTTAATCTTATATGTCTGGACGGTCGCACCAGCTGACGTCAATAAATTTGGGTGTATCTGTATTGATTAACAATGTGTGTATGAACTTGCTTACTTTCTCATAGCAGCTTTTGGAGTTGTCTATGTGAGACATCAGCTCAACCTGCAACAACAGAACCGCAGTAACAGATCATTCTGAATGAAACATAAAAGACTGTGTTTGCCTAAGGGGAGAAATTAGAATAAATTAAAGGTGAAACCTTTTCTTTCTGCAGCTGAGTGATGGACAGAGACGTTCGCTCCCTCAGTCCCTCGCACTCTTCTCTCATTCTGTTCAGCTCCGACAGCAGGCGCTCCTGAAGCACCCAATACAGCATTACTGTCTTTCATTAAATATCATTAGTCACGTACTGTTAGGGTTCACAGTACAGCTTTAATTTGGTCTGATATTTTGGTCCAAACAAGAAATTTTTGTTCTAGCCGACTTGACCCATAGCAAGGAATTTTGAGTCTGAACCCAAAAGGAGTCCAACAACATTTTCTCTGAATCTGACCCAAACAGTTGCACACTGCCAAGTTTTGAGTCCAAAACTGGCCTGAGTGACTGACTGGGCCATCACCAAAATGCCATATAAGATCTAATAATATAATCTGCAGCAATAAAAGAAGTCATTTAGTGATGAATAAATACAATAAATAAAACATCTTTAAAACATCTTTCATATTCTTATATACTTTGAAAATACCATCTGCTGTTTACACTGCATCAAAGTTTCACAATAAACAGAAAAATAGAAATGGTAAAAAATTATTTTGAATAAAATCTTGCTACATTAACTTAATTTGAAAGTTAAAATGATTTTTTCCTTCTCTTTTAAAGTTGCTTTGTTGGAGATTAGAGATTTTGTGTCGACAGCATTAATATAATATGTAAATGTTTAAAAATATTTGGCTTCATAATTAAAGCTGCATTGTGTACGGTTGGGGATTTGGAGACCTCTCTGGTGGAAATGTGCAATTGCACACAATGTGTGGAAGAACATTTTTTAGTGTGGGTTGTGCTTTGCCCCCCTTTCCCTGAGTGGATGAATCTGATGATTGAAAGAGAATCAAAGAGAACTCGGTCTAAACTTGGTGAAGGACGCGTCTTCTGGGGATGTAAGGTAAAAGCTGTCAAAAGAGTAAACTATGGGAGAAGGGCTTCAAGTGTAGTTAGCAGTGGGTGGTGTGCTGTAAGTTTGAAGGTTAAAGCAACACTATGTAAGATTTGGGGATTTGGAAACCTCTCTGGTGGAAATATGTAAAAGGTGCAGAAGATCATTTTGTAATGTGGGTTGTACTTCAGACCCCCACAAGTGGATGAATCTGACTTTTGCAAGTGTGTTGAAAGAGAATTCAAGGGGAACTCAGTTCTCTGGGGATTCTGGGAACTCTGTTCTGAGTGAAGCTGTCTCTCACACACTGCTGTGTGTGTGCAAACGCCTGCTCATGTTGAACACACACACTCGGCAAGACCCTCAGAGAAACCACCTCCTCCTTCACACACACACACACACACACACACACACAATCACACACACACAAACACACACACAGCCTCACACTGTGTCATGACTGAGTTCATACAGTCATACGTAAAGGTTTGGGCACCCCAAATTGCATGTATTTGTTGATTTTCTACACGAAAAAAATGGAACATATCCTCTACAGAGAACACACATCTGCACATTTTAATACAGAATTACTGTTAATTTAACACAACGGAAAAAAATAAAATGTAAAAATGTGGCTTGAGCAAAAGTTCTGACACATTTAATATTTTACATTTTATTTTTTCCAATATGTTAATTAATAGAACAAGTGTTCTCTTTCAGACAAACGCCTTCAAACGTTTTCACTTGTCATCAGCCCATTATAAACTCTTTGATGCAGACTGAAAAAAATATGATTCATTTAATTTACTGATTTTAAAAAACACAATCTCTAAATGCAGTTATTGTGGCTATTTCAAAATGAAAAGAAAATAATCTAACAACCATTTAGACAAGTAAATACATGCTAAGGAATACTTACAGTGTCAGTTGCCTCTTATTCTTACTGACCGAACATCTAAAATACACTGTGAAGAGGGATTCTGCCAATTTTTTGAAAATTCTGCATAGTTCAGTGGTTGAGATGTAAACAAAGTCATTCAGAGTGGTTTGGTGTGAAATGGTTGATTGTAGATAAACTTACAGACTCAGATCTCAGACCTACCTTCTGTGTTATATGTGGAATGTTGACGATGGTAAAATAGTGATGAATCTGAAATAATAACTTTTCTTTGGGGACTATTTTGCCTCACAACACCCTGTTTGTATCCCTCCACCATGAATGGATTTTATGGCCAATATCTTCTCAGAACTATCATAAAACAGTGTCTCAGACATTAGTGAATTCATAACCATTTCATGTAATAACTTTCTGTGAGGGGACTTTTAAAGGTGGACATCTGGTTCCTATCACCACCACTGTGAACTATTCTGACTTGGTAAGTTTCTCTGTAGACTTCCCTGTCTACACCACTAGGTGGCCAACATAAGGACACTAATATTTCTCATTTCAGGGGCAAAGAAAGGTTTAACAATAAGATACTGTATGTGGTTCCAGTTCTTTGGCTCGTTTGGTGGTCAGTTGTTGAACGTAATGAATCTCAGTGTAAGAGTGCTGCTCCAGGATCAGTTTCTGTCTCTTATCTCTTTTTAAATAGGACAGATTGGTCAGAGAGAACTGACCTGAGATCAGCACTCACTCTCTGAGCACACCAAGGTTTTTTCGGATGTTTTTCCTGCAGGATGAACTCTTTACCTCTGCGCTCTTCTCTCCATGTGAGGTGGAAGATTCCTTTCTCACTGAGTCATTCTCTCTCGCTCGCTCTCCTCCGTTCCATTCTGCTTTTTCTTCTTCTCCACTCTCTCTCTCCTTTCCTCCGCTCTCTCTCTCCTCTCTTCGCATTTGTCTCTTCGCTCTTTTGTCACCGTTCATCTCTTTTTCAGTCTCTCCTTTTCCACTTGCTCTCTCTTCTCTGTCTGACTTTTTTTTCTCTGTTTTGATCTGTCCCATCTCTTTTTGACTCTCTTCCTCTTTTTCAGTCTTTCTCCCTTCTCTTCTGCTCTCTCTCCCCGCTCTATCATTCTCTCTACCTTCTTCTCTGCTCTCTGTCCCTTCTCTAATGCTCTCTCTCCCCTCTCTTCTGCTCTCTCTCTCCTCTCCTCCTCTCTTCCTCAGCTCCTTCTCTAGCTCAGTCACCCTCTGGCTCAGGCTGTCTCTGTCCCTCTTCACCTGAATGATGAATTTGTCGTATTCCTCCCTGATCTTTCGCTCCTGTTTGCAGTTGGAGCACTCTGTGACAGCGCCTAAAGCGAGTGAGGAGGCAAGTGAGGAAGAGGATGAAGACAGAACAATGCCAGAGTGGGACAGCGGGACGGCACCTTTCAAAACACAAACTGCAACAGACAGCCAGTGTTAACATCCAAAACTCTGAAGTATTGTGATATAAACTGAGTCTGTTCTACAGTTTCTCATTAGGTTGAATGAATAACTGACTCTAAATGTAGGTATTGTGATATAAACTGAGTCTGTTCTACAGTTTCTCATTAGGTTGAATGAATAACTGACTCTAAATGTAGTCATTGTGATATAAACTGAGTCTGTTCTACAGTTTCTCATTAGGCTGAATGAATAACTGACTCTAAATGTAGTCATTGTGATATAAACTGAGTCTGTTCTACAGTTTCTCATTAGTTTAAATGAATAACTCGCTCTAAATGTAGTCATTGTGATATAAACTGAGTCTGTTCTACAGTTTCTCATTAGGCTGAATGAATAACTGACTCTAAATGTAGTCATTGTGATATAAACTGAGTCTGTTCTACAGTTTCTCATTAGTTTAAATGAATAACTCGCTCTAAATGTAGTCATTGTGATATAAACTGAGTCTGTTCTACAGTTTCTCATTAGGTTGAATGAATAACTGACTCTAAATGTAGTCATTGTGATATAAACTGAGTCTGTTCTACAGTTTCTCATTAGGCTGAATGAATAACTGACTCTAAATGTAGTCATTGTGATATAAACTGAGTCTGTTCTACAGTTTCTCATTAGGCTGAATGAATAACTGACTCTAAATGTAGTCATTGTGATATAAACTGAGTCTGTTCCACAGTTTCTCATTAGGTTGAATGAATAACTGACTCTAAATGTAGGTATTGTGATATAAACTGAGTCTGTTCCACAGTTTCTCATTAGGTTGAATGAATAACTGACTCTAAATGTAGTCATTGTGATATAAACTGAGTCTATTCTACAGTTTCTCATTAGGTTGAATGAATAACTGGCTCTAAATGTAGGTATTGAAGGCCAGGGCCTGCCGGCAGGCCCAAAGTTGCTTAATAATAAGCCTTAGTATGTAATAAGCCTGGGATTTTAAGGGGTTAACCAAGTTTATGCACTGATCAGTACCTCTATTGCTGTCCACAGCTCTGCTCTTCTCCCCCATACTCTGAGATCCGCGGCTGTAGCGTCCATTCGGCTCCATCGGTGATGGTTTCTCCAACTGAGGGAGGAAAGAGTGGCTCTCTGAGCTGTCCAAGCTGCTCCTGGGTTTGGGTTTGGCCAAAGGCCCTGAGGTGGCCAGGATAGGGGGCAGAGAGGCCTGAGACTGGACAGAGCACAACACATCAACCAGACAAGCCATATTAGTGAAATTATCCTAATCAAAGAAGTGTTGCATTGTTTGTCTAAGACTGATAGCTCTGCTGTGCTAGTGTACAGTTAGAGACTGTAGCTCATCTGCTGATGTACAGTTTGTGTAAGCCACAACACCCTTCACCAGTGGTCAGTTTCTGCTTTTGGATGGGCTACAGCCTGTAATTGTACACCAATATAGTGGAGCTCATAAAGTGGCCAATGAGTGGAAATGCAAGGTAGGAGAGGAGCATAAGGAGTGTAGCTTCTGCTAAACAAGCTAGCTAACATTTCCACTTGATTGATAAAGCTCTTATTTTCTGGTTTTGAGTCACTATCTCATCTGTCCCCTGGCTTGGCAAAAGCTTGATTTACTACGAGATGACCGCTGGAGTCCATACACACAAACCTTCACCTCCTTCTCCACACATTTCATGCTTAGACCCAGATTATATAATGGAGTGTTGCTTTGGGAACTGACCACTTGAGACAAAAACAATGCAAATGAAGCAGACCACGGCAGCAAAAAATGACCCCTGTAAACTTTTACAAGTTTTTCCCCAAGGTCACTCAGCACAGTTACGGTCAAAGACATGAGTAATAAAGGTTTTCATACAATAGGTTTACTGAGGCCTGTTCTGAGCAGGAAGAGTGCTAACTCAGGGCTCCTCCACTGCCTCAATTACTGCATTTAGTAGGACTTTAGGGGATTATATTGTGAAGGCTAAGAAAGCTGAGGTGGACTGTGTTTCTCCCTGTTGTAAAGTGACCAGATTTCTGATTTCAGATTTCAGTTCAGCAGTCAATATATCATTTAAATATCCAATGTTATTATCTATGAAGTAAAAAAGGGGGACAGTTCCAGTTTCAAGTATTTTGACCATGGTAACTGCTGTACTGTAATAAAGTATGGTGAAGCCCAGCTGCTAAAATTAAGTACTAACTTTGTAAACCATGTCAGAAAAGCATACAGTAGTGGTGAGTGAAGCTATGATAAGTTATGGAAAACCCAATAAAGAAAACAGTCAAACTACAATGGTTCAACAAATTTCAGCAGCGCCCCACACATAATCATCAGCAGCATCAGCTCAGACAATTAGCTCTGTTTTTAGCATCTAGGAAGTTCTAGCTAGCAAGCTATCACTTCAATTCAGACTAGATGCTAAAACCAGTATGTGTTTTTAGCATTTGGAAACAGTTGGCTTGTGTTAACTAGCACAGCTAGCTATCCTTTCAACTGGAAGAAAGCTCTGCCACTTTTCTGTTACTGACTAGCAGATGTGCTACTGTTATTAAACCCAGCAAATGACTTGTGTTAGTAGTAGACAGGAAGCTAGCAGGCTAATTATTCTAATATAGCTAGCTAGTTATCATGTCGATAAAGGCAGAAAGCTCTGACCTTCCTCAAAGAAATCCCTAATAGACCAACATGGCTAGTCACCTGCAAAACCAGTACATATTGTGTGTTAGATGCTGGTATGCTGGTCAGCAGCAATGGAAGTTAATATGCTGGTCACCAGCAAAACCAGTATGTACTGTTGATGTATGTTTTGGTTGCTGTTATGCTGGTCAACCAGCACTAGACCAACAATATACAAGTATAAACCAGTATAAACCAGCTTAGACCAGCATGGAATTCACGCTGGTCTGTGCTGCTGTTTGAGCAGGGATACCATGACCATGTAGGCTACACGGCCATTTTCAGTTTACCTCTTTCTGTTCTGAGTATCTGTAGCTTTCTGCACAAAAAGCCACCCAAAGCACATAAGTGTACAAAATATTCCTCTGTTGAAAACATTTCTTAAAATGTACCTCATACAAAGAGATAAACTAGTTCTAAACCAGCACTCCCACTCTGAGAATTTGGTCTTTTTGAGACTCACTCTTCTGTCCGCACTGACAGGTGGAAGCATCTGTGCTCTGGTCAGCAGATGGGCACTCTTTTCCGTCGCCCACACGTTTTGCACCTGCCAGGGCAGAGATAGCTGAGCATTTCAATTTCTGATCTTTAATTCATTTTAACAGTGAGTACTGTACTGTGATGATGTAATAAATGCTAGCATTATTCTAATCAGACCTGATCTAAATAGCCTAACCATAATAATAATATTGTGTATATTTGCCTGTGCAGGTGTGTAGTATAACTGTGCAGGTGTATGTGGTCATCTGTGCAAGTGTGTAGTAGAGCTGTGAGGTGAGTGTTGGCCAAGAACATACAGGTATGTTTAGCTGTGCAGGTGTGTAGGAGATCTGTGAGTAATGGCCATGAATAAACAGGTGTATACACCGATCAGGCATAACATTATGACCTCTTGTTTCTATGCTCATTGTCCATTTTATCAGCTCCACTTACTATATAGGTGCACTTTGTAGTTCTACAATTACAGACTGTAGTCCATCTGTTTCTCTGCATACTTTGTTAGCCCTCTTTTACCCTGTTCTTCAGTGGTCAGGACCCCCATGGACCCTCACAGAGCAGGTACTATTTGAGTGGTGGATCATTCTCAGCACTGCAGTAACACTGACGTTGTGTTGGTGTGTTAGTGTGTGTCGTGCTGGTATGAGAGGATCAGACACAGCAGTGCTGCTGGAGTTTTTAAACACTGTGTCCACTCACTGTCCACTCTGTTAGACACTCCTACCTTGTCAGTCCACCTTGTAGATGTAAAGTCAGAGACAGCAGCTCATGTGTGTCAGCATAGTTTGTGTTGGTCATCCTCTAGTCTTTCATCAGTGGTCACAGGACGCTGCCCACAGGACGCCGTTGGCTGGATATTTCTGGTTGGTGGACTATTCTCAGTCCAGCAGTGACACTGAGGTAACACTTTAAAAACTCCAGCAGCACTGCTGTGTCTGATCAACTCAGACCAGCGCAACACACACTAACACACCACCACCACGTCAGTGTTACTGCAGTGCTGAGAATGATCCACCACCCAAATAGTACCTGCTCTGAGGGTCCATGGGGGTCCTGGCCACTGAAGAACAGGGTAAAAGGGGGCTAACAAAGTATACAGAGAAATAGATGGACTACAGTCTGAAATTGTAGAACTACAAAGTGCACCTATATAGTAAGTGGAGCTGATAAAATGGACAATGAGCGTAGAAACAAGGAAGTGGTCATAATGTTATGCCTGATCGGTGTATGTTTACCTGTGCAGGTGTGTAGGAGATCTGTGAGTAATGGCCATGAACATACAGGTGTATATGTTTACCTGTGCAGGTGTGTAGTATACGTGTGCAGGTATATATGGTTACCTGTGCAGTTGTATAGCACATCTGTGAGGAGTGTATTGACCGTGAAGGTACACTCATGGCTCGGGCAGCAAACTGCAAGCAGCTCATAGTCTCAGTGACTGAGGATGACAGGGTCGCCACAGATACCAGCAGGCATGTCCGACAGTTTCCTCCAAGACTGAACCAAACACATAATAATTAACACGCAGCTTCATGCAACAGCTGCACAGTAGGAAAAATGCATGACGAGTAGATGAGCTTTGAGAAGCTGAATAAAACACGGCACAATCACCAGTGATAAACTGTGTCCAGTGCAATGGATTTATTAGTTTTTTTAAGGGGGGGGGCATTGAAATTATAATTTCAGAACAAGATTAGGTGTCATCTTCATACAGTGTCCTGTATTGTATTTGTCATGTGTGTTTATGAACAAAATCAGCTGTAATTAATTTTTAGCTGACAACTTACCAACTTCTCTTTATCACTTAGAAATAAACAGTCTGTTTTTGTTACTGTGCCTTTAAGAGGGATGTATGTACATGACTCTGTTCTGATTGGTTGCCCTATAGTCCAGGACTGAAATGTGGAACAAACTAACTTAAACCTAAGTTAGGACTGAAAGCTGCAGGGCCAGGCTAAAAAATAAGCTTCAACCATTTCCTTTCAGATGTATGGATCCTTTGGAAGCCTGTAATGATCCATTTGCTTCCTGACAGCCAGGAACAGCATAACATTTGATCATTTTCCCACAACTTCCACTTCAATAACTCTCCTACAGACTATCTGCAAGAATAACACTCCACAATGGGAACCTAAACTGCTTCAGACTGAAAGGGTGGTCATACGTAAATGTATTAATGGTTGTCCGATTACAAACATAAACTCAGTGATGAGTTCAACTTAGCTTCCATATATGATCTGTATGAAATGGCAAGCACATTTTGAAACTTTAACAATGTTGATAAACTAAATCAAATTCTCTTATATTAAAAAGTAAGAGAAATTTGGTTTATTATGAATGTGCCCTTTAACTCAAACCTGACGATTTACTCCACATTACCACATGCAAAACTATAAAACAAAGGCTTTGACCCAGAACTGATGCTATGAAGCTTTACGATGATGATGATGATGATGGTGATGAATGATGCTCACCAGTCTCTCAGAGCACGAGTGAGTTTGGACTCTCTGTATGGAACATGCTGGCAGCCTGCAGCACTCAGAGAAAATATCACCTGAAATGACAGAAAACTGCATTACCCACAATACCCCATTACATAGTAATAATAATTACACTTTGACTTTAAAACAAATCACAAAGCACACTTTGAGGAAAACCCAGTATCCGTAGTGTTTACCAGCATGCATGGTTTTAAAGGGGTGGCCGAGTTGGCTATTTCATTCCCTGAAATCTGATTGGCCACTCCAGATGCCACCCCAAAAATTTCCGCCACGTCATTGGCTTCCACCTCGCTGTGGGGTGGGTGTTTGCACTTTTAAGAGGAGAGTTGTTTTGCTATCAGTGTGACAACTCTCCAATGCTCCCCCCCAGTTTGTGTTAGCCATCCTCTGGCCACAGAGCTCCTGTCTGGAGATTTTTGGATGGCGGTCCCCTCTCAACCTAGCAGTGACACGGACAAGCTGATCAGGACTTTTGGCTGGATTGGCAAGACGTGATTCACTTCATTCTCTCCAGCTCATTATCATGGAGTTGTTGTTTTTCAGAAACAGTCCAAATCTCTGCTGCAAGGGAGGGAAAAGAGCCACGCTTATCTTGCAGTAACCACGGTAACGTGGCCCCTTTCAATGTCTTCTTGAACTAGTGCTCATATTTGCAGCAGTTACATTCTGGCGCCTCAATTTTCCCATTCCACCTTAAATGATGCAGAAGTGCAGAAGGCACCATTTAAGGTGGAACGGGCAAATTTGAACAAAAAGCTGGCGAATAAGAAAAAGGAAAAAGAACTTCAAGTTCTTGTAAGCACCTCTTACAAAGCAGCACATTTTCTGTCTTGTTGGGCATTTGGTAAGTTGAATAAATCCACTTTACTAGCCTAATGCTAGCCAATATATCATTTAGCCGAACAACACGTTGTCTCTATTCGGAAGTGTGGTGCCTGTTGCATAATGCAGATGTAAACATCTGCGTGATGATGCTTCAATCCGGGCTATTTTGGGCAATCTGGGGAACTGACAGAGATCCTTAAATCAGCCAGTCAAATCACACACAGTTTACATTGCCAGAACTCCTCCGGTAAAACCAATCCAGCTTGAATAGGGCTTTAGTCTACTAGTCATTCTAAAAAGTAGCTGACTAGTCGACTAGTCATCATGACCACATTATAAAAAGGATTTGGGGCTGCAGATGCTGCTGTTTGAGCTGAGATTTTGTTGTATTTCAGTAAGTTTGTCTGATGTAAACTGTATGTTAAAATCATCCTGCTCTCAGATTCTGACCTCTCACTGAGGATTTAAACTGACTCTGGCTATCTGTGCTTTGGTTTTATCAGTCCAACGGAAAACAAACATTGTTGATGAAGATAAATGCTAGTAGCAAGCAGTTTCATCTCTACTTACCAATCAGCCTTGCAGAGCGAGATATAGTCCTCAATACTAAACTAGAAACACTATCCTGATTTAAGAAGTTGTTCCTGAATTTTGTTTAATGTTGTAAGTAGCTAGACGCGTTTACTGACTGGTACTCTGCCTCATGTAATGTGAGTTTGTTTTCCTTGCACACTAAATGTTCTGTGATTGGTTGTTTTGCATGTCAAATTTCCCCTTTCCTGTCCGAGACGGTTGTTTTCTAAACCTTCCCAGTCTGGTTTAGCCTGTATTTCAGTTCAGTTTTACACAGCTTGCAATGGAATTGGTCATCTTGTGTAGCATTTCCACACAATTGAAGTACCTTGTTCTTTGTGTTTAATAGAAAAATGTATTTCTGTTCTTTATCTTGTATTTACAGGATGTTTGCGTGCATCTTTTAAGCTGGGAACTCGTATTTATCATAATCCTGACAGCAGAATAAGAGTGATACTCACGTTTCTGAAGATGGTGAGGGAGCGTTTGAGAGTTTTGGCCTCCTGCAGGTTTTCTGGAGCTACATGGAAACTCCTCCTCACATCCTGAACCGCAGAATTGCGGAACACAGCCTTCCACAACACACACAGAAACAGAAAATTAAACACTACAGAGACATCGAGACAGAAAACCAACGACAGGCACAATTTAACCCCTTAAACTAGAAGCTTATAATTCAGTTATTAAGGACTCTTCTATTAAAAAATCACTATTAGTGATTCAGTATCAACTTCAAATTATTCAGTATCTACTATGAATTATTCAGCATCTGCTATGCATTATTCAGTATCTTCTATGAATTAATCAGTAACAACCATTAGTCATTCAGTATCTACTATAAATTATTCAGTAACAACCACTTACTATTCAGTATCAACCACTTACTAATCAGTATCTTCTATGAATTACTCAGTAACAACCATTAGTCATTCAGTATCTACTATAAATTATTCAGTAACAACCATTCACTATTCAGTATCTACTATGAATTATTCAGTATCTACTATGAATTATTCAGTATTTACTATGTATTATTCAGTATCCACTATCTATTAGTCAGTATCTACTATGAATTATTCAGTAACTGCTATGAATTATTCAGTATCTATGATGAATTTTTCAGTAACTACTATGAATTATTGAGTAATTACTATGAATTATTCAGTATCTACTATAAATTATTCAGTAACAAGCATTTACTATTCAGTATCTACTATTAATTATTCAGTATCTACTACAAATTATTCAGTATCTCCTATGTATTATTCAGTAACTACTATGAATTATTCAGTATCTACTATAAATTATTCAGTAATTACCATTTGCTATTTAGTATCTACTATGTATTAGTCAGGATCTACTATAAACTAGTCAGTATCTACTATGTATTATTCAGTAACTACTATGAATTATTCAGTATCTACTATAAATTATTCAGTATCTACTATGAATTATTCAGTATCTACTATGAATTATTCAGTAACTACTCTGAATTATTCAGTAACTATTACAAATTATTCAGTAACTACTATGACTTATTCAGTATCTAATATGTAGTATTCAGTATCAACTATGAATTATTCAGTATCTACTACAAATTATTTAGCATCTACTATGTATTATTCATTAACTACTGTGAATTATTCAGTATCTACCACAAATTATTCAGTAACTACTATGAAACCAAATACAAACATGCAGGCATATAAACAGAAAGAAAAGTAGCTTCTAAAAAACATTCTGGAGTAACAAGTGAGTGCTCGTGTATGTGTGTGTGTGTGTATGTGTGTGTGTGTGTGTGTGTGTGTGTGTGTGTGTGTGTGTAATCAATCTTACTTTTCCTGAACTCGCAAGATCCACCTAAGAAAGCAAAGAGAACACAGTCACTTTTCCTGATAAGAAACTCACTCACACACTGTAGTTACTACCACATACTAAAACACACTCTGCAGTGTATATAATCAAACTGTTGGAGTGAGAATTATATAAACTTACCAGAGTGAGCTTGCTGGCTGTTAAAAGTCCCTCTAGAACATTCAAACACACACACTTACAATACATTCCATATGTTCTAAATATGTATGTATCTATAGGCAATAATAATACATGCCATATGTATTATACAGTGGCCAACCATGACTATAAGAGCAAAGCCTTCAGTTTGGGCTGTAAATGACAAAATGCGGTCAAAAACACCTCTATGATAATGCTAAGTTCTGCTAGCACCCCTAAATCTAGTAATGGTCCTGGGTCCTGGCATAGAGCTGCCGCTGCTGTTTTCCATTCCTAACAACTAACCGGGACCTGCTTTGACTACAGCTTATATTTACAGTGACTGACATATCTAGAACTTCCAGAAGGACCCGAATGACATTTTTCTCATGAAACTGGACCCATTGTAAATCAAAGTGTGATTGGTTCCTCTGTCACTTCCAATTATGTTGGTAATTAATCTAACGTGTAAGGCCTTCAGTTCAGCTCCTGAAGTCCTAACCAATGGGAGAGCTCGCTTTGCTGTATCTACCTAGATACCTCAGAGGAAACAGTCTTGGTTGGATAACTTTCTGTTAGGTGTTTTAAGATTTTAAACCACAACTGAAAAAGTAAATAAGAGTATTACTACAATACTCATAGAGTTTAAATACAAGCATGATGTTTATATGAAATATTTTTGAAAATGATACATGAAAAAATACTTTATAAGTCAGTTTTTGTGTTGGTTAGTTCTGTTTTTCTCTGGTTTTACTACAAAGTCAGGACATTACTGTCCTGGAAATGTACAAAAACCAACACCCCCACACACATTAGCGTAGATAATCTTATTAAAACAAGAATCCGGGCAGGCTGTGTAACAGTGAGCTCTGGAATGCCCTTATCTCTCTACAATAACACACGCTCACTCTCGTGGGGGCCGGCACTCTGCTGGCTTACTGACCCACCAGGGGAGGCTCAGCTTGTGTAATTGTTTGATGGATGTGATGAGGCTGCTTTCACAAAAGTAAAGAATGTAATAATTGGTGTGTTTGGTGTGCAGTTTCAGTGAGTCTAAGAATAGAGAGTGCTGGATTCTTCTCTGCTTACATCAACCTGTATACCACAGAGATGGATAACCAATGAAAGGCACAATTTAACCCCTGAAACTAGAAGCTTATAATTCATTTATTGAGGACTCTTCTATTAAGTAATCACTATTAGTAATTCAGTATCTACTTTAAATTATTCAGTATCTCCTGTGAATTATTCAGCATGTGCTATGCATTATTCAGTATCTTCTACGAATTATCGAGTGTCTACTATGAATTATTCAGTAACAACCATTAATTATTCAGTATCTATTATGAATTATTCAGTAACAATGATTAATAATTCAGCATCTGCTAGGAATTATTCAGTATCTACAATGAATTATTCAGTAGCTACTATAAATTATTCAGTATCTACTATGTAGAACTCACACTGTGAGTTATGCACACTAAGGCCCAATCTCATTTCACCCCTCACCCCTACCACTTAGGCCCCATGTGTCAAACACAGTCCTATCCGGCCGGCAAAAGTATTTTAATTTTCTATTATTATTATTAGCCCTTTTCACAGTGTGCTGCACTACAGTCCCCAGCATGCACTGCAACGTAATGTGCTCAGACTCTCCTACCCCAACAACAATCTATGGGACAGTGATTACACCTCAATTGTACACAATTCTTTACACCAGTCATATCACCATATCAGTCATTTCAGCTTCAGTTCAACCAACATAAACACTTAACATTAGCTCAGTAACTCGGGAATTGAGCCCAGGTCTCAATGAACTTGCAGCAAAGAAAGGATGCCAGGTGTCTACTTAAAGAAAATAGGTAGGTTTAAGACCAGCACCTGGGGACATTTACATTTTGAATATTTCAAGTGTCCATGTAAAATTTCAACGTCTACTACAAGTGTCTGTATTTTACTGTTGATGTTTTTGCCAACAACGGCCAGTTTGGGTTATAGAACGACATTAATTAAAAATGAAATAAAAACATTTTTTTCTGGCCCACAGATTTGAGGAATTTTTTCAATGTGGCCCTTTTACTGGTTGAGTTTGACACCCCTGACTTAGCCCTTAGCCCTCCATTTTGCAGGTTCACGTCTAGGGGTAGGGTGTCCCAATTCTTGTTGAGATAGAGGGGTAGGGCGAAGTGTTAGGGCTACATGGACCTCCAAACGGAGGTGTTTCAGAGACACAGTCCAAACAGAGTGTTATAGGAAAAAAGAAAAACCAGCAAGATGGCTGCACAAGAGCCCGAAGAAACCCACAAATGTGAGAATCTTCTGTGTTAAAAAACTATGATAACCATTATATTAACTTAGTTTAATGCCATTTCAATGTATTATGGTCCTTTTCCTCAGAACAAGCATAAAAAACCACTAGTAGTATGGCAATGTCTTGGTAGCTAGCTAGCTAAATGTCCCGTTCCACCTTAAATGGTGCTGCATTTAAGGTGGAACGGGAAATTTTGAACAAGAAGCTGGTGAACATCAGACTTCAGCTTCATATCACTGAAGAATTAGGGGTGGGCGATAATATATAATTGAACCTCTTTGAAGGCATATGATGCCCTAAATGTAACTAAAGCCCAGCAGTGAGGTTGACTGGCAGGGTCGCCTACAGAGCAGCGCTAGTAGCCTGTTAATGAAGTAATGTTCTTTTTTATCTGAGGGTCCCATTTCATTGAGGAAGATTTCAATCACTACCCCTCGTAACTCACTTCGAAGAAGCAAGGTGACACTCAAAAACAAGGGGTAGGGGTAAAAATAAGAAATGGGATTGGACCTTGGAGTACATACACACTGCTGTTTATCACATTACAGTACTGTGTAAAAGTTATTCGTTTTTGGGATATTTTTCAGAAGAGATTAGACACAAGATATAAGATAATACTTGCATATGGAAGAAGAAAGTCAAAGAAAAATAAATTAATTTTTCAAAACTGGAGTTCAAAAACTGATTAACTCTCTGGGGTCCACAAACTTGCATCAAAAGGACTGATCCATCACGCCAGAATGGTGAGCAGAGAGTTTACAGTGGTTTTGGAAAGTAGTGATGAAGATAACGGAGCATTGTGATATGAAACATACGAGTATCATGTTATATGAAGAGCCTTTAAAGGAGAATTTAAAATGGAAGACCTGGTAGACCACCAAAACTGTCCCCATCTGGACTGACCTCCCCAGAGTCCAGACCTCAACATCACTGAATGTGTTTGACTACTTCAGAAAATGATCAACCAACTTCTAAGACTGAACTTTGGAGGCGTGTCTGCAGATTTCTTTGAGAAACTGAAAGTGAGTCTCCTGAAAAGAATGGAAGCTGGAATAAAGGTAAAGAGGGACAAACTGAATGTTTTACACTTTAGATTCTTCAAAGTAGCCACCTTTTGTTTTAATGACAGCTTTGCACGCTCTTGGTATTCTCTCAATCAGCTTCATGAAGTCGTCACCTGGAATGGTTTTCATTAACAGGTGTTAATTGAACAGATGTGCCTTGTCAAGAGTTAATTTGTGGAATTGCTTGTCTTCTTAAAGTGTTTGAGACCATCAGTTGTGTTATGCGGAGGTAAGGTTGGTACACAGTTCTATAGTTCTGTACAGAACTGTGTTCCTTCATAGTTTTGATGTCTTCAACATTCATCTACAATCTACAAAAAATAATAAAAATAAAGAAAAGCTATTGAATGAGAAGTTGTTTTGACTGGTACTGTAAATCTAACAAGTTTGGAATGGCAACAAAGGTTATCTGCACTGCGGTGGTCTAGATAAACATATGTTTATATATGGTGAAAAACAAGTTACAAATGTGTTATAAATAGCTTATGAAGACGTTCTATAGAGACCATACACTAATCATATGTTACTATATATCTATGCATTTGCTCTCTTACAACATCAGTACCTATTAAATCAGTCTGTTATGCTTACCTTTAAACTGGCCTCTCATATTTATGACTATAATGTTGAACACCATGTGAGACTTGCTGGCAAAATCTCCCTTAGAGACCCCTGCACAAAACACAAAGGGGTCTTTTCAAAGCAGATTCAGGATGAGTTTGATTTATAAACCAAGACGGAACAGCTAAGAAAGCACAATGTCCAAAAGTTTGTAGATAGCAGCGTTTTGTCTGAAATGAATGATATTAATAGTTAGTCTGTCCTCTTTGCTGTAATTACAGCCTCTACTTATCTGTGAAGGATAAGTGCTGTGAGGATTTGATTGAGCGTTAGTGAGGTCATGTACTGATGTTGCTGGATCCCTCGAACTCATCACTCCAGAGAACGTAGTTCTACTGCACCACAGCCCAGTGCTGGGATGCTTTATACCCCTCTAGCCCACACTTGGCATTGGGCATGGTGGCCTTAGGCTGTGTGGCTGCTTCAGAGCATCCTGTTCTGTTGGTCAGTGCTTTTCTATGAGGACTGTACAAGCTGTGTTAGCAATGGGTGACCTTAAAGCAGCTGAACTCACTCATTAGAACGGCTGTCTGGATTCTTTTGGACAGTTAGTGTATATACATAATTTAATATCACATTAAACGAAACATGCCTGAATGACATAAAGTTAGAATCTAGAGTTATGTCTTTCTACATCTGTTGACGCGCAGTTTGTGTCACTGTCCTCCACCCTATTCACCAAAGAAGCGCTGATGTCCAAATATTATTTGGGTGGTGGTCCATTCTCAGCACAGCACTGACACTGACATGGTAGTGTGTGCGGTACTGGTATGAGTGTATCAGACACAGCGGTGTCACTGCTAAGTTGAGAGTGGACCGCCACCAAAATATCTAGTGCAGAGCACCTCTGTGGTCAGAAACTGACCACTGAAGAAGGCTCTGGTTTTGAGTTGACAGACAACACAAAACAACACAACTCCAAAGTTAGAATCATGAAAGTTAAAGTTAGGCATTTAGAGCGCCTGTATAAAAAAACTGGTCTTTCAGTTCATTTCACACTTTTTTACTGAGCAGGTTTCCATATATAAAGCTGCATTAAACACTGCCCACTCCTCTTTCTATTCTGATCCTATGAACTCTGGCAGTCTGAGGCCTAAAACTCTCTTTCATACTATAAACAAACTTCTTCAACCTCCTTCACCACCCACCTTGAACTCCTCTGCCCAGTGTCAATTTTTTTGGATTATTTTCTGGATGAAATTAATAAGATCTCTCTGCATTTCCCTGTAGCAACCGGCACTTCTCTTTCTCAGGCCTCTGTTTCACTCTCACCTGATAATTGTCTCTCTGTTTTCTCCCCTATGAACTCTTCCACCGTGTCTGAGATTATTTCCAAATCCTCTACTTGTACATCTCAACTAGATCCTGCTCCTACGGCTACTCTTAAGTCCGCTTCCTCTGTTATTGCACCTCTTATAGCTGATATGATTAATCTATGCTTTTCATTAGGCACTGTTCCTCCATCTCTCAAAATAGCTGCTGTCACTCCTATCCTAAAGAAACCTGGGTTGGACTCATCCTCACTGACCAGCTACAGACCAACCTCCAATCTCCCTTTCTTAGCTAAAGTCATGGAAAGAGTTGTAGCCTCTCAGCTGCATGACTTTCTAACCGCCAATAACCTATATGAGCCTTTTCAGTCTGGTTTCCGCACCCCACACAGTTCTGAGTCTGCCCTTGTAAAAGTTGTAAATGACTTGCTGCTGGATTTCTTAACATCCTGATTCTTTTAGATTTAACAGCAGCTTTGAGACAGATAACCATAATCTTCTTATATCTAGACTGTCATCTGTTGACATTACTGGCCTTGCCCTTCAATGGTTGCAGTCATACCTTGCTGATAGGCATCAATACATTTCTGGGCTCCCAAAAAATCTGGTATTGCTCCTGTAGATCGAGGTGTACCCCAAGGATCTGTCCTTGGGCCTCTCCTCTTTATCATTTACATCTCCCCACTCGGTCAGATCATCCACAACCATGGTTTAACTTTCACTGCTATGCTGATGACATTCAAATTTATGTCAACACTACTTCCCTCTCTGCCTCCGCCCAGGTTTTCAGTTCTTGTGTCAGAGATGTAAAACTCTGGTTGCAAAACAATACAAATAACTGATAAAACCGAGGTTCTGTTAGTTGGAGCTAAAACCTCACTTTCCCAGGTACTGAACTTTTCAGCCAACATTGATGGTGTCGATATTAAGCCAGCCCAATTTGTTAAGAACCTTGGCTGTCTTCTTGATTCATCTCTCACTTTTGAGTCTCACATTAAGCTGGTCACCAAAACTGCATTTTATCATCTGCGTAACATTGCACTCTTACGCCCTATGCTGAGCGACACTGACGCTAAAATGTTGATCAATGCCTTCATCTCCTCTCGCATCGATTACTGTAACTCACTTTTCTATGGCCTTCCAGTTAAACTAATAAATCATCTTCAGTACATCCAAAACTCAGCAGCCAGGGTTCTTACCTCCACCAAGCGCACAGCTCATATCACTCCTATTCTTCGACAGTTGCATTGGCTTCCTATTAGTTCTAGGATTAAGTACAAAATCCTTCTTCTCACCTTCAAGGCTTTACATGGTCTGGCTCTGACATACCTTTCTGATCTCATTTCAGTATACTGTCCCTCTCGTGCTCTCCGATCTTCTAATTCTGGACTCATCACAGTTCCCTTAACTAGACTTTCTACTATGGGTGGCAGATCTTTCAGTGCTGCTGCCCCCAAACTCTGGAATTCTCCACCTTCCACTCTTCGTAATTGCTCTTCTTTGTCTTCCTTCAAATCTCTGCTAAAAACCTTCCTTTTTTCTTCTCTGTAGTCTTTAGGTTTTACTTTTGTTTTGATTCTATGTAAAGCGTCCTTGGGTTTGTGGAAGGCGCTATATAAATTGAACTTATTATTATTATTATAAATTATCAAACTGTGCATCAACAGATGAACCGTACACCAGCAAGGTGGAACTACAAGAGCAGGGTCTCTAATAAAGTGGCCAGGAGGTCGATAATTCTGTCACCTGCATTCCTGTGGGCGGTCCCACGGCGGAACACCTGCAGCAGTTCCTCGGCGGAGCTTACCTCCACCTCTCTCAGGCCTTCCAGAAGCACCGCCTCCTCTGTGTCATGGATACGGCACACCTCACTCACATGAGGCTCCTGAATAGGTAGAGGACAGGTAGAAGAAGACGTCCCCACACTTCAACTGGATGTGATTATACAGTTGAAGGAATATTCCAGACTTTTCCAATTTCACAGACAGTCATTTCAATATCCTTCTCTCATCTTAGAAAAGAACAGAAAACACTGACTTGAAAATCACTTATAATAGAAGCCAGCGGGCATGTACAGTTTGAAAGTTGACTATATAACATATTCGCTGTTTTATTCCACTTTCAAACACGGAGGAACACAGTATAAAAGAAGTTTCAGTTACTTTGACTTTCTCAAAGGTTTCCTGTATCCATGGCGATCAGGTAGAGCCTGTGAAAACTCCGCCCACTAAGCAAGTGCAAACCCCATTTCCAAAAACGTTGGGATGCTGTGCAAAATGTAAATAAAAACAAAATGCACTGATGTGCAAATCATTTAAACTCTATATTGCATTGTAAATACTACAAAGACAACATATTAAATGTTGAAACTGAGAAATTTTATTGTTTTTTGAAAAATAAATGCCCATTTTGACTTAATGCCAACAACACATCCAAATAAAGTTGGGACAGGGGCCTGTTTACCACTGTGTTTCATCACCTCTTCTTTTAACAACACTCTGTAAGTGTTTTGGGACTGAGGAGACACTGCTGTAGTTTTGAAAGCGAAATGTTTTCCTATTCTTGCTTGATACAGGATTTCAGCTGCTCAACAGTTCAGAGTCTCCTTTGTCGTATTTTTCATTTCATAATGCGACAAATCTTTTCAGTGGTGAAAGGTCTGGACTGCAGGCAGGCCAGTTTAGCGCCTGGACTCTTTTAATACGGAGCAAAGCTGTTGTAATACATGCAGAATGTGGTTTGACATTGTCTTGCTGAAATAATCAAGGCCTTCCCTGAAAAAGACGTCGTCTGGATGGCAGCATATGTTGCCTTCATTGATGTGCATGTCACCCATACCATGTCCACTAATGCACCCCTATACCATCATGAATACTGGCTTTTGAACTGTGTGCTGAGTAATAAGCTGAGTGGTCTTTAGCCCAGAGGACACAGTGTCCATGATTTCCAGAAAGTATTTCAAATGGTGATTTGTCATTTTTCCACTTCCCCTCAGTCCAATTTAAGAGAAGGTTGCAGCGTTTCTGGATCCTGTTTATGTTTGGTTTCTTCTTTGCATTTTAGAGTTTTAACTTGCGTTTGTGGATGCAGTGACTAACTGTTTTCATAGATAGTTGATTTCTGAAGTGTTTCTGAGCCCATGCAGTGATTTCCACTACAGAGTGCCCAAAGATCACGTCCAGCAAATACTGGTTTTTGGCCTTGTCCCTTGCATACAGAGATTTCTCCAGATTCTCTGAATCTTTTAATGTTACTTTGCACTGTAGATGATGAAAAGCAAAAGTTTTTTGCTATTTTATGTTGAGAAACTTTATTTTTGAATTGTTGCACTACTTGATTGTGCAGTCTTTCACAGAGTGGTGAACCCCTCCTCATCTTTACCTCTCTGGGATGCTTTTTTTATATCCAATCATGTTACTGACCGGTTGCCAATCAACCACCAAGGGTTTTTCTGCATTACACAACTTTACCAGCCTTTTGTTGCCCCTGTCCCAACTTGTTTAGAACGTGTTGTTGGCATCAAATTCAAAATGGGCAAATATTTTTCAAAAAACAACAAAATTTCTCAGCTTCAACATTTGACTTGTTGTCTTTGTACTATTTTCAGTGAAATATATGGTTTAAATGATTTGCACGTAATCGTATTTTGTTTTTATTTACATTTTACACAGCATCCCAACTTTTTTGGAAATGGGGGTGTAATTAATTACCACAAATTCCCCCCCTGAAAACTAATCCCACCTCTAAAAGAATTAATTATTCACTGTAAAAAATTAAAACTTAAAGGTTGATCACTGGGCTTAAATTCTGAGTTATATGAACTTCAAATAAAAGTTGACACAGACTTCTGATCTGATAACTAACCATTCAAAGCTCACATTACTCAAATTTTTAAGGCAGCTTGTTAACAAAACTTTGAGTTTTGAGAAAAACCCCTTAGTTGGCAGTATATATATCGCTTCTGTCAGAACAAAACCTCAGATCTCCTAAATGGTAACTTTACAGGAGAAGGAAAAACATACTTTACTTTTAATGTAAGCCAATGGAACCAGACGTTCGTCCAAGTCATTTTGGGACCCTTCTTTTGGTTCATTTATCATGAAATTTACACACAATGCGAAGGGCAGCAGGCATCTTCAAATTATGTCAAAAACTGAAAAATGGAGATATGAGGTTTTGTTCTGACAGCAGCAATAAGTTAATTTGTTACAACCAAACTGATCATAAAATCCAAAAAAGTGCATCAAACTTATATTTAACATACAATGTAAAAACTGGCTCATCAGTTCAACCTAAAAAAACTACTAAATTACAACCTAAATTACTTTGTATAGTAACAAATAATTGAACTAGTTTAATTCAACTCAAAACAGACTTTGATTGAAAGAATAGTTCAAACTGTTTATTTACATTGAATTAAACCAGTTTACTTGTTGATTCATAAGTCATTTTTTTAGGTTGATCTGAGATCTGATGAGCCGTTTTTTTACAGTGTATATAAAATATATGAAAGGAACAATAAGATCTGAAGGAAAAATAAGATCTAATAAACAGAAATCAACAACCTCACTGGGAATTCTGGGTGTTTTTGAGTATGTTGTAGACACTAAAATGTGTACACTTGAATTATCAACCAGACCTTACAAACAGCTTGCTATATATATAAAGTACTGCTGCTTGGATTATTCCATAAAAAGCTTATGCAGTGTGAAGAATCCACTCACCAGCAGGTCGTAGATCTTCTCGTTGGAGATGTGGTAAAAGGAAACTCTGACTCTACAGAGAGAGCACTCTGGAGCTGAGGCGGGTCAGATCAAGGATGAATTTCTGAACATACTGTGCACATACATTTAGTTATCTGGAGTCCCTACCAACCCACAAACTGTGAAATAAGACAACATCGTTCAGAGGGCTGCCTAGTTCAGGAAACATGGCATTCAACAAGCTGTTCAGATTTGGCTCCGCTTCTTATGTCACATACAGGCTCATTAGAATAATACTGCCCCCATCAGAGTAACTCCACCCACGGCTTGAGAACTACCATTGAGAAAGAATGCGCCGTTTTTTTTCACAAGCTGACATTCAGTGTGTCCCAATTCAGGGGCTGCGTCATTCGGAGGCTGCATTTAAAGGCTGACTGCGTCACAGCGGCGCGATTAGGCTGTCCGATTTTGAAGGCTCCTTCACATGCGGCCGAGAAATGTGTTCTTCTTTTCCATGGCAATGAAGGATCCAACAGGTGCATCTTTCTCCAGCCAACAAGTCAGTAGTCGGTGGTGAAGCATCTTCAGCTCTAATAAATGAAAAAATAAACAACTAAAATCAAAGTTTACGGCTCTGTCTTTAAAGAACTCTAAAAGAACTTAACAGGAGCGGCATTTCGTGATGCAGCGGTAAAGGTGGGAACAGCGGTGCTGTGACGCAAACAGAAAATCCGCCGTAGCACAGACCGTCTCATTTCAGTTCGGCCTTCGCGGGTCTAAGCAGCCCTCGAAGGACTCGCCTTCGTAGACTGCATCCTTCAAAGGATCCAGCCCCTGAATTGGGACACACTAATTGTGTTGAATCTAGGAGATAAGCACAGGAACTGCTCTGTTTTCGGCTGCACCGCGTGGATAAAGTTTCTTTTTGATGGCAATGTTTCGGCTACAGTCAGCAAAACCTGTACTGACACAAGGCTGAAGTCAGCTTCTTATTTACCTGCTTCTTGTTCGAATTTTCCCATTCCACCTTAAATGGTGCAGCAGCTACATCAGGTGTGTCAAATTGGGGACCTTCTGGGACCAAAGTGCTGTGGAGATCAGCATTTACCCTCATCTAACACTCTGAATTCAGTTCATGAAAGCCTTGCTAATTAGCTGATGAGCTGAA